ACCTGTTTTCATCCAAGCTCTTACCAGGGTTGATCACCACCCATGGGGTCTCGAGGACCCCTCATGGAGGTTCGGCTATTCTTGCTCCCCCTGAGACCACTCAAGCATTTGACCCCAGCCAGGACATCACCGGTCAATACCAAGCTCTTTTTAACACCACGCGTGTTACTGCAGTTTGGCATCAAGTCACCAAACACGTTCGGGCACTCATTTGGTCTTTCTACGGGAAAACGGGGGCCTCATCCGAACAAGAGCCACATGTGTGGAACGATAACATCTTGTCTAAGATCTTCGAAATCTCCGCACAGTACGGAGACATTCCGGTCTTGGTGTCGGGAGACTTTCAAGCCGAGCCGATGTCTTACCCGTCGATTGTAAGTGCCATTCAGTTTGCCAAATGGGGAGATCCGTTCCTCTCGTACGATGCAGATGGTCTTCCATCGAGGGACTTGACATTTTCTTCAGACAGATCCTTTTCTGGACAGGAGGGTTGCTCCAGTATTGACTCCATCCTCATCAACCACGTCACTAGTGCAGCGTTGGTCAGAGTTGAAACCGTCTCCACGTTCGAAACGCAACACCGTCCTCTCCGAATTACCTGTTCATGGCCAAAGATCTTCATTTCAGGTTTCGTTCATTATAAGACTGCCCCATTGAACGTTGCTTCCGGTCAGATAGATCTTGATCCTTCCAGGTTTTCATCACAACATGCCGAATCTCTGTGGACGGACTCTTTTGCGCAGGCCTTTGATCAAGCTGACGATGTGGATCATCGATGGCACATCGCCAATGACTTTTGCATCTCGTTCCTTCTACAGAATGGCGCTGTTTGGGGAAAGGGTCCCAAAGAGAGAGGTGCTCCCCCAAAATTTCGTTCGAAGAGGGTCTGTCCGGGGCAGAACTTGTTTGGAGGCTCTTCCAAGTCTCGCATGTCTCGTTACTGCCGTGCCTATCGGGGCCTCCAGGAGCTTTGCTTGCGACTGTCTCGAGCGCAAAGAGGTTTTGCTGACTCCCAGGTCACCTTTAATACCTGTTGCAAGATTCGTAGGCTTCTTGTTGACTTAAAAGCCCCCTCTGTCTGGGAGAGTGGGTCTTTTCCATCCTTGCTTCAGGTTTGGACGAATCTGTCATGGGTTGGGGATGCGGCACGCACTTTCGATGTCAAGATTAAATTAGCCCGCATTCAAGCTTGGAAGTCCAAAATTCAAGAAGACGCTCGGTCGGATAAAAAGTTCATTTTTAAACATTTGCGTAACCGTGCATGTGAAGAACCAGCCAACCTGCTTCAGGATCCTGATGGCAACATCATCACTGATCCCAGACAAGCCATTCGGACCTTTAATGAAGCTTGGGATGACGTTTTTGCATGTAACATTCAAGCGGACCACCCTCTTAAAATGCTCGACATCATTTGGCCTTACATTCGTGACCATGAGTTGCGGTTTGAGAGTCAGCCGATTGATGCACAATGCTTGTGGCACATCATCCAATCCCGAAATCCTCATGCCGCCCCAGGACTTGATGGATGGCGGACTGGTGAGCTACAATTGATGCCGGCTGAATGCTTTCGGCCTTTCGCCTCCGTTTTTGCCGCACTCGAAGTGTCAGATGACCCTTTGCCTCCCACCCTCACGTGCGCCCGTCAGATGATCCTCAACAAAAATGGATCTTCTCACCCTATGCAGAAGCGGTTGATCACGGTGTTGCCGATTTTATATCTGGCATACTCGGGTGCCCGGTTTCGCCAACTAAGAGGTTGGCAAATCAATGCCATGCCTTGCCAGCTTGTCGGAGGGGTGCAAGGTAGGAACATGTCAAGCATCCAGATGCAGATGAAACTCGACATTGACATTGCCAATGCCCAGGATTATGACCTAATAGGCATGAAACTCGACAAAGCTAAATGTTTTGACCGAGTGATACCCTCTTTTGCCTCCTGCCTCATGTTGGCTTTTGGAATAGATAAGAAAATTGTCACAATCTTCAGCAAACTGTATGATGGCCTTCATCGCCACCTTTCCTACAAGGGCTGGTGCTCTCCGTCGGCTACCCATGCTGCCAACGGCATAGCCCAGGGAGACAGTTTCTCGCTTGTAGCAATCAATGTCTACTCCAAGGTTTGGATTGTTTTCATGGACCTGTTGCCAGAAGTTGTTGCCATGGCCTATATTGACGACGCCTATTTGTGGGCCAGATTGGAGCACGCAAGCAAGCTTGCACATGCCGTCGAGATCACTCGCTTTTGGGATCTTTTGTCAGGTCAGCTACTGAATGACAATAAATGTGTAGTTTGGGGCACCTCCACCAAAGCCCGCAAGACTTGTAAACAACTTTGGCCTAACATGTCCCTTCAACTTGAGGTTGAGGTTCTGGGGGCGTTTGTCACCACCTCCAAACGCCAGGCTTTTCACTTTGAAGACTTGAAGACACAAGCCATTGTTAAAGAAATTAAACACATTCGGGCTCTTCCGGTTCCGGTGAAAGTGAAAACCTTTTTCCTGGGGGTGAAAGTGATTCCACGTTTCTGCTATGCTGCCTCCCTCAATCAGATTCCTAAAGATGTCTCGAAGAAGTTTCAATCTGAAATTGTGCACACTCTCTGGGGACGGCGACCACACTGGAGGTCCCGTGCCCTAGTCCTGGCTTTCCTTTCGGATCCACACCGCAATGATCCTGTGTGTGCGCAAGCGTATCATGCAATAATGGAATTCCTGAGGTTTTTGAGGATGCCCGGAAATGGGCGTGAGAAATGTCTTTGGGCGGCGACACATTGCACGGTAGAACAGGCTCTGTTGACCAAGATTAAGGATGCCTTCCGCTTCTTTGGCCTGTCTTTGTCACATGACCTTGTTCTTTCCTTTGGGGGTAAACCTCTCATGCCTGCTTGGGATCTCCACCCGAAGGATATCAAGTTGTTGCTGCATCGGCTATCGAGACACCGTTGTTACCTTGAGGCAGCAAATCAGCACCGCAAGGACTTCCGCATGCCTTCCGGCATCCTTGATTTTGACCTCACGTGTGGGCTTCGTGACAAGTCCACCATCCAGCATGAGTCCAAAGCCGTAGTTGAGAGCCATTTTGTTGCCCAATTAGTGGGCTGCACTTTGACACGTGACCGTCTGTGTGCAGCAAATTTGGACGATTCAGACAAGTGCCGGTTTTGTGGGAGTGTGAAAGAATCGTTAGCCCACGTCGTTCTGGAGTGTGAAGCATACCATGCCCTACATCCCCCTGAACCTGTTCACGAGTTAGGTGCAAATTTTGGGCTTCTGGGCATTGTTGAACACCCTGTTGGTATTGTGAAACACAGACTGCAATGGAACAACCCCGAAGACATTCTTGCTGAGACTTTCAATCCCTCAGCTCCCCGGGTCAGCTGGTGGTCTGATGGCTCAGTTTTTTGGCCAGATGTTTTCTGGCTTTCGGCTGGAGGCTTTTCTATTGTCAACGAAAGCAGCCAAGAACTTTTTGGTGGCCCTGTTTATCATCTTCATCTTTCTTCGTACACTACTGAGCTTTGGGCTATTGTTGTTGCAATTCATAAATGCGCTACTCCAACCGAAGTGTTCACTGATTGCCAGACAATTGTTGACCAATTTTCGGTCTTGCAGTCAGATGGTGCACCACATGCCTCATGGTCCCATTTCTCATGGTGGCTTGCAATCAGCAACAGATTCCAATTTTTGTCGTGTCTTCACCCTGAACCCTTTGCGGTGTCATGGGTCCCTTCTCATTTATATGAACACCTTCCAGAGTGTTTCATCACCCAGGCCATGGCTGAAGCAAAGAAGACGGAAATTCGTCATATCATTGGAAATCGGTTCGCTGACAAGTTTGCTAAGGAGCATGCCTTGCAGGCCACGAGTGTACACCCTTCAGATGAACAGATGTTAAAACAGAGCATCGTTCGAAGACAGGATTGGCTAACAACGCTGAACCTTGAGATTGCAGCGCTTCAGAGACTTGATCAAGATAGCAAACAGGAAGCCCGCTTTGCTGAAGAGGAGGCTTCTGAAGATGTTTTTACCCTCTTCCCTCATTGGGAGTGGGAACCACAAGTTCCTCATTTTCCATGGACACCCACGTTTGTGTTCAATCCTGATGATGTTCCACCACAATGGGCTTCAAAAACCAGTGATTGGAAAGTTTTGGGGGCCTTTTTCTCAGGCCAACGATGGCGGATTTCTGAGGATGCAGTCACCTCCTACGTGGAATTGGCTGTGTTGTTCCACCTGCAAGGATTCCAACTTCCATCGCAGGATTCTTCGATCCATACTTTTAGGGATCTGACAGCTGAGGTCCGCCAATTTGTGGCACGCATCCGTGTTGACTCAGGTACTTCATTTGTGCCGGGTTGCCATAATAGACACCGGAACAAAAGCATCGGCAAATCTCTGCCTAATGGGACCATTGATGGAGCCGAGATTTATCTCACTCGTGAATACAAGATTCGTTTTGCACGAATATTAGCTGGAGTTTCGACCGCCCGACTTCAAGCATGGGCTTTCTCCTTGGACAGCGCTGAGGGTTAATTCGGGGTTCACATATGAAAGCATATGTGTGATGGATACTTGGCAGAATGCCTAGTATGCCAGACGAGACTTTTCTCGCCGCGTCAGGAAGAACAGAATAGACTACCTGGCAGGTCAACCGACCCTGGTTTGAGGCTCCGGGGTTTGACCCACAGCCATTGGGGTCCGGACCTTGCTTTTTGAGGGCACCGGAGACTGAAACGGCAAACGGGTTTCTTCAAAGCTGCAAGTTGTGGACATGTCCTCGACACGGAGCAAGTTCCTGCCACAGTTCCGTCCATATTGTAAATACATAAAAAGGCCCTACGACATGATACCTGATATATATATATATACAGCATATACATATATAATATATATACTGTATATATTATATTTAATAATATATATATATACAAATGATGTGTTAGAGGTGTGCTTTGAGTCTTCCCAATGGTGCACGAGAAGGTTTCCACTGGGAATCCGGGCTAGCACACTTCTTGGAGCTCTTGGGGAGCGCATGCATCAAGGGTTGCTGGACGCCCTAGCAGCACAGAAGACCAAAACAATGGCTCCTTGGAAACCATGGTCCTGGACAAATTGGGTGGCTGTATTTGTTGGAGGGAGATATCAAATACACTGTTCTATACTTTTCTGGTGCTATTTTTGTTCAGAAGTATGCCCATGATGAAGGGCTTGGATGCAATGGTTATCAACTCATGTGGCTGGCCTGCTTTAAGCAACGTCAAATAGGCAATGGCTATGTTGTTGAAAACAGAAATAACACAACATAACACAACACATATTCAATTTCAATTTGATAGCGATAGGTAAGTGAGAACATACATAGAGTATCCTAACTAACTTGAAGATTTCCTGGGGGCCCGGTGACCAAACCTCATCAACCTCCAAGGTGTTGCCCCTCTAAACAGGTACCAGGGTCGGTAGGGGGCTGCCTCGGTGAGTCTTGGAGTGGAGACCCCACGGTCCAACACGGTCCAACCACATAGGTACCATCGTGACCGGCCAAGATAGTACCACATAGGTACTGATAGTAGGTACTGATAGTACCAATCATGGATCGGTCATGTACCATGTCTCTTTGGCGGCCTCTTTGGCCATGGCAGTGCCCGGACGACTGCCCGCTGTGCCAGGGCGGCTGACAGCAGTGCCTGGCCGGCTGCCAGTGCCTGGCGGGCTTCCAGTGGCCAATGGTGGCCAACGGCTTGACTGTAGACCTCTAAGGGGTGTCCTGGTTCCCTAGAGTCTTCGGAGAGGTGTCTTCTCTTTGTTTGACCAACACGTCGACCGAACCATCCTGAACATGTTTTTCAGGCCTCAACAATCTCAACATGCAGAGTCACAAGTCACTCCCGGCAGAAAGTCGCAAGAGAAAGGTCACAGCCTGTCACAGCTATCTGTGTCCTTTGGCTGTCTTTGGCTGTCGCAGCCTGTCAGGCTTGTCATACTATGCGATTGGACGGACTTCGGGGTTGACCCTAAATCGACCGGGGCCTGCAGCAGTGCCGGGTCTCGAAGCAGCGGCCTGCTAAAGCAGTGACGGCCGGAACACCAGCGGCCTTGAGCTGCGTGAATCACTGAACTTGCGAGTGATATACCACGTTGGTATATTCAGTGTATTCATATTCCAACGTTGGTATGCTCAATTCTGCGAACGAGGTGTCCCAGTACGTCGAGTACGTCATGCGGAAATCGGAAGCATGGAAGCATAGGCAACACACCCCTTAGATCAAACTTGACACACCCAGGGGCTCCAAGTACATCTTGAAAAGGTGGTTGGGAGGGATTTGAAGGGTCCAAACACTGTCTGTGGAAGTGCTTGGAGCCCTAGGGACAGGCTTTGTGGAGCATAAACCTCACACTCCATGGTCTCATGGGCAAACCATGCAGCACCCCACACTTCCTCAAACCCAAGTCCAAGGTAGCATCAAACATAATCATAAACCAAAAATATCACCAAACGCCAAACACCATCAAAAGACAGCACATCGGTGAAACAACACCTTGTTATTGTTTTCTCCACTGCTCCACATGAGCTGTGGCTTGCACAGATGAGCCAACGTCGCGCTCATGTTAGGTTGTTGTTGCTGTTGTTGTTGTTGTTGTTCTTGTTGCTGTCTGCCCAGGTCCATATTTGAGACATTCTGTCGATGATCCAGTGATTCACGGATATTCACGGTGACATCCACGGTGACATGACCCACGTGTCAACCTCTTGCATCACCGGGCTTTTGATCTGTCGAGATCGGGGTTTCCCTCTCACATGGCCCAAGATCGGCACAGGCATTTTCCGCCCACAGGGCCAGCCGGTCTGCCCAGGCAGCTCAGGCCTCCCCGGTTCCTCCCCGTCCGCTCCTGCGGCGCCACGTTGGTCAGGCCAAAGGTTCCTTGGTCCTCTCCATCCTGCACGACGTGTCAACGGTGCGCTGCATGGATCCTTTGTCTTGTGCAGGTGCAACGCATTGGATCCGCCATGAGACATACTTTGTCTGCAACCATGTTGTATGAAAATGGGTTCGGAGCAACTATGCTCAGTCTGAAACGTGGAAGACACATATACATATATATATATACTGTATATAGTTGCTAATGTTGAGGCAATATGCTCAGTCAATTCAGAAGTCCTCCAACATCACAGACTTGATCGGGACGTACTGCCTGACGTACTCCGGGGCCGTGTAACACGGCGCGGTTCGGTGAGTTGATGGCATCGTGTGAAAGACATCCTTCAAGAAGTGCATGAATGAACAAAGTACATCGGCGGAGAAGTACTCGTGTACACACCCTGGACTCATAGTGGTGATGAAAACATGGATTGCGCAGTGGGGATCCCTAGTTCGTATATCATCCATAGTACGTATATCATCCATAGTAATCCATTTCTTTAAATACATCCAAATGACCCAGCACATCCCAGCACCCTCGCGGAGAACGCTTCATGAGATCATGGGATATGTTGTCCTTGTCATCATGGTGTGGTGATGTTTCAGGACCTTGGGATGTTTCATGCAACCCTACCGGTGTCTCAACAGGAGACTCCAAACTGTTGGAAGTGACTTCCTCCGTGAACTGGCGGAACAAGGTCTCCGTATTTAAAACCAAAACTGCCTCTTGGCTTGCTGCCCTGGCGGAATTCTGGTCCATACGTTCTCAAGCTCTGTGCCTTCAAAGCTCTGTTCAAATCCAGGGCACCGGAGATTCTCAAGTCAACCATCCAACGAACGCATCAAAAAGCGACAAAAACGGCCGGTGTTTTTTTGGGATCCAAGCTCTAGGTCTTTGGTGCCGTCTTTAGCTCTTCATATAGAGGTAAGCCAGGCGTCATGCAGTGTGGATTGAGACAACGAATCTTGCTGAGGAGATCGAACGAAAAGGTGTCTCTTGAACTGGAACTGCCAAACCCAAATGAGTCTTTTTGGAGCATGCAACCATGATTCACCATACATTCAAGATATAAAAGCAAAGGCTGAAACAAAAACGCTAGAACAACAAAACAATGATACGACAAATAACATCAGAAACCAGAATAACAATAGAAGAAAAACATCGAACAGAGTGCATACTCTCGCACAAGCCTGTTCTCCAGGTACTCCAAACCTTCCAACAAAGCCAAGGCCTCGCTTGGGGCCGAGAGCCGCAGCGATCCAAAACAAGAGAATCGATGATCATCTGCAGAGAACCAGGGATTCGAAAGACTTATGAGGTACAAGTATGTCTATTGAACCTATACGCCTGTAGACTTGACTATATACATGACTATGACATCCTATGCCTATGTCGATGTTTTGGGGAGCCGATGCTTGGTGGGCTCGGAGAAACAGGCGGTCTATGATCAATACCTATATATATATATATCTGTTGGTTATTGGCTATCTATACAACATATACAAAAACATGTACAACTAGGATCAAATAAGGTACAGTACTGTGAATGCTATAGACATGTACTTGCGTATACGGTAGAAGGATGGAGCAAAGATAACAATGATAACACCTCCTGAACATCAAGAGCAATGCAAAGCATCCGATGCGGCAATAAGATCGTGTGGGGTCCCTGCTAGCCTACACTGGCCAACATGGATACCGTCTGGACCTTCATCTCTTCAACTCTTCAGCGGGGAACAGCTGAAGCACTGAAGCACCAAATGCCAGCTATCATGAGGGTACGGTACCGGCTTGTTCCAGGTGTTCTTCCTCCAATTCCCAGAGTGCCCCCACATGTCCCGTTTCCAACCAGCGGCGATCCCTGGTGACCCTCCATCCGACGATCCCGTTTTTTTTCCGGACATGGCAAAACCAACAACAGGTGTTTTCCCTTAAGACCCCTGCATCTTGGATTCATGGTGGAGTTTAGAATTTATTGGTCTTGGTCTATTCTGTTTGTATGAGACATCGGGAAAGTAAGCCCCCCATGGCATGGGTCGTGGTCTATTTTCCTTCTTCCAGGAGGGTCCTACAGGGGCTCTCCCTATTCTACTACACAACCAAATCGCCCGAGCACCTTGGGCATCTCCTCGCTCTCGGCCATGGGGTTGCCCTGGCCCAGGCTGCACCGCAAAGAAAAGCACACGGCGATTGGAGAACCAGAATGAAACTCGAAAAAGGGTTAGTATGGGTTAGTTCTTGCATGTCACATGCAGGCTATAATATCTTGTATGTTTGATGCACGTGGGTGGGCAAAACTCAATAGACGCTCCAACTGCCAAACGGGCCTAAGAAGGTCCAGTATTCAAACAACACGACTGAAGGACCAGGTCCTGCAGTATCAGGGTGACTCTTCAACACACTCTCCCTTCTTGTTCTTTCCTTGGTCCTTTAACCGTGGGACGCAGCTCATCGCGGCGTCCATCTACATCGCTCACAGGCTTGGTCCAATCAGTTCATCGTAAGCGGAATGTTTGCAACGTCTTGTCGCCACGTGGGGTGCCCATCAGCCATCGTCCGTCGCCATACAGTCGATGGTCGACTCGTCGCCATTGAACAGTTGTCCTGGTTTTGTAGTCAAACACTTATAGTTATAGTCGTAAAACAATGGGTTGTTCGGTAAGGACCGATGAATCAATGATGGTCGGAATCTTATAGGACTTAGATACAACATCACAAATACCGTATCGGCAAGGATCTTAGAAGTCAAGCTACTAGCCGCTAGCCCATGGTTACCATGTTACCTTGAACATCATGGGGACAACCTCTCAGGTGGTGCTTGAACTGAACATGTTCTTCAATATCTTCTTCAACATGCCACATGTCCAAAAGTTGCTCCTAAAAGTCCATTGGCCGCTAGTTCACGCTTTGGAATCACGACCCAACCACGGAGAACAGCGGCCGAAAGTGCATAAATCCCGCCTGGATACACAGCTCCTTTAGGCTTGCGATGGACTTCAGCTTCTCGACCTGGCGGAGAAGATACCACCTGGAACACCAAGTGGTCCCTTTTTTTGATAGGAACATATAGGAAAAGGCTGTATTTGGGGTATTTGGCTCTCCAAAAGAGGGGTCACTCAAGGGGTCTGCACTCCTCAAACACACCAAACGGTTAAACAAGCAATGGATTCGCGGAGGGGCCCGCAGGCTGCCTGAAGGTTCCTTCGGTCGCGGAGGGTCGCGGAGTTTGCCCGTCCGGAAAACGGCCTCCAGGTCTGGAGCAGTGAGAAGGTTCCGTGAGATGTCCAGGATCTCCAGCATGGGACAACCTCATCTCCGGCATGGGACAACCGTTCAAAGGGCACGGGCCGTATATAGTGTCTTTTTTTTGTGGTGGTGATGGTATAATTAGACCCCTTTGTGGTGGTGTGGGTGTCCATTATTACCATACATGGTCGATGTGTTTTGTTTTATCTTTGTTCTTCTAAGGTCCTGGCACGGGACCCGACCGTCCAATTCATGCACCCGACCCATGGGCGTGGAAGAGGGATGGAGCTACCATTATTCTTTTGGATTTGGTTGGTGTTCACATGTGTTCACCCTCCCAACGAGCTTGCCGGATCTTCAGATGCAACGAGCAACGATCTATATATCTGGATGACAAACTGTATCTGATCCCTATGGATCCACACCTCTGAGAAGGTGATTGGAGACATTTTTACATAACATGCAAGTCCAAGTACCTTCTGAGAAGGTATGTGGATCCCTAGCGGATTTTCATTTCGCACCTGTTTCTTCCGTCATTAGCGCGTGACGCAAGGGCCAGCGTCCTGTAAAGGTACTCTACAGCAAGCGAAAGGGTGCGGAAATCGCGCCCCAAGCAGTTCCTCGACTGCTCCAGGCTTGCTTTGAGAAAGGCTTGCAACCCGAATTCTTGACCTGCGCTTGAGGCCAGGAAGGCGAACCGAAGGCGAACAAAGCTATGCCTTCTGCGCTGAAGGATTCAAAATGAAAACCTTGCTGCAGTCCCCAAAAACCACAGCATCCTTCAGCCACCCACGGCCCCCTTCAGCGCCCGCGTGTCATGGAGAACTAGTGCCAGCGCCATCGTCTGGACTCCTCGTTCCTTCGTTCAGCTCCCTCAGGCGTCGCTCTCGGAGGCGCCCTCCGCGGTGGAGGTCTCCGAGGCCAGGACTTCGCCCATAGCTTGTCCCGCCTCCACCACGACCGGAGCCCGAACCGAGACGAGACGGTTCAAACCGGGGAGCGGTCTGATTTTTTGTTGGGTGTGTTGGGTGGTTGAAGACAACAAAGCTTCCAGGAGTGGAGCCGGTATCGTTTTCGATCTGTTTTCCCCCCATCTTGCAAGAGGTATTTATTTCACAGGACCTCTTGATTTTAATATATATATATAACTTTTTTAGGAGTCCAAATACAGGAACATCCTTTTCGCTTCACCTCAAGACCGTCTTGGACTCCCAGGACTCAGGGCTGTCTCTTGGAGGGTGTGGAAACCGGACTCGTCGGGATGAGTTCGGAATGATGCAGCCGCCTGCGCCATGTCGAACTCGTCTAGGAAGCAATCTGCCTACTCTGAGCCTCCAAGAGTAGCTTTTAGACCCATCCAGTGGGTGGAGCATTGCAACCAGGGCCCTGAACATGAACATCCATGAGCCCCTCTCCATGAAACACCAAAGAGTCATTGACCTCTTTTTTCTTAGTAACAAGAAGCTACAAACGGGGCTCCTGGCCTTACTACTAGGAGCAAGGACGCTACTAGGGGCTCCTGGCATCGCTACTAGTAGCAAGAAGCTAGACGCGAGTGTCTCTTCCAAAAACCGGACAAACGCGGGTCTGCTGCGCTCCCACGTCCGGTCACCGCCGAAACGCACCACGCCTTGAGGCCCTCCTTGCTGGACGGATCGTGGCCACAAACCCTCTTGCCATAGAAAGCGACCTTCAGGATGGCCCAATAGCTCACGCAGGAGTACATCACCAAGCTTGGCCACATCAAAATCCAATCCTTGAAGTTCTGGCAGAAGCCAGTATCCTCTGCACCCTGCGGTTTCATCTTCAGGTGATAGATGAGCTTACAACCTTCACGGTCAAGGTAGAAGAAGATCAGGAAAACGATGTAGGTCCAAGCAAGACTGGAGAAGCCTGCAATCATCACTCCGGTGTTGGCTGCATCATCCAAAGGATATTGGCCTGTGTGTTCAGCCATGTCCGCGATCGTGTTGCGTTTGGCGTTCACCAAGGCATAGTTGATGAATCCGGCAAGTCCTATCGACACAGGCTCGAAGGAAGTGATTGATGCGCCCTTTTGAACCACTCTTGAAACACTCCACCAGGATGGATCGTCATCATGCCAAGAGTATGTGTCTTAATTCATTCTTATTTTGAATTAAAAGCCATGTTTGACTGTATGCAGTGCTCTCAGACCACCACCAGGTCCACCAAACCAATATATATATATACATATATATATATATATGAATTATTATATATATACATGTTCACTGTTTCACCACAGCTTTTTGCCTTTTTTGGCTGGAGAAACAAACTGGAGCCATTTTCTTTCTTTTGGCGAGAACGTCCTGTCAGGGTCAGAGAGCACAAAATGAAGCCGTAGTAGATCACGAACCTGGGGAGAAGGCCACGAAGAAGTGATAGACATACAACTATAGTAATTTCATGAAACATCTTAAGAGGGTCTTATTGGAACCCCAATAAGTATTAATTACATAATGATAAGTATAATTCTATATAGTTACATAGTGTGTTTGTTTTGTGAAATGTCCAGTTGATTCCAGTTGGGTGTCACCACATATGACTACATGATATATACAATGAAACTACTCTTCATAGAGACAGAGTGGTCCCCAAATTGAGTCTTCCCGGAAAAACACACATAAACTCACTAGAATACATGGGTTGTCCTTCATGACCCCATGGCCAAAGTACAAGATAGTATTGAAAAAACATGTTTATCACATTCCATGATGAATGCAGCTCCACTTCTCTACCCCAAAATACCATAATACCCATCTATCTTGGGTCCATTAATCTACCACGGAACCAAGTGCCGTAGGACATGGCCGCAGCGCAGTTGTAGCGCCGGCGCTTCACCACAAAGTAGTGGAAGACCTCGCAGGCGCCGATCGTCCAGCGTTCGCTCTGGCGGAACCATTCGCTGAACTCCTGCGGGTTCCCGCACGGCGAGTTCGAGGAACGCACGGCGAGTTCGAACATGCGGTGGGAGGGGAACGAAGTCTGTTCATCTAGTGAAGGGGTGAAGAGGGAGATCCCCCCCAGTTCGCCAAACCACCCCAGGCCCCAGTCAGAAAACATGAGGCACAGTGTCTACACAGTGTGGACCATCTGCTTTGAACCTTGGCACGTGGCGCTTCCAGATTCGGAACTCACTCCGGCAGGACATGAAAAACACAAGGCCTTTGTGGCGAAACAAATGAACATCCATGATCATTGCATGATTCACTGTTCTCAAAATCGGAAAAAGATCTAGGCAGCCTCTATAGAATCGATTATATATAATATAACCTTTAGGACCAAACACCCAAATGTCTCATGACTCCTCTCCGCACATGTCCGTTTTCGTCTTTCGTCGACTCCACGTCGCTGGTCGTGGTTGTTCGTCGCCCGGCTGCCAGGTTGTGAGGCTTTACAGTGGATCTGCATTAAACACATGTTTAAACAAGGTTGGATGTACTGCTCAAAGTTGCAACTGTCCCCCGAAATGGCTTTACGGCGGTTTGGTGTCAGGGGTTTCCCACACACCGCGCAAAAAAAATAACGGAACCCAAGCACTGAACATACGGACCGCGCGGAAGAAAAAACGCATCAATTCCAGTCCTCACATTGGGTGGTGCCACTGGTGGGCCGGAGATCACGGGCATGGGAATCATGAGGATTTCCACACGTTTCTGAAGCGCTTGCATACAGGTCAAAGTGTAGATGATGTCCTCAGACACAGACACAATTGGATGGAGTCCATGACATGCCCAAGTTGGACAAAGAAACAAGTAAATAGTGCAAATTACTGTTGTGATGGTTTTTTTTGTTGTTGTTGTTGGGTCTAAAAACGACAGTGGTTGTTGTGTTTTAAAAAAACACTGAAGACAAGGAATACAAATGAATTCTGGGAGAAACCATTCTGCTTTAAAAAAACATGTCCAAAATGTATTTTAAGATCTTGACGAGGACGGGCAAAAACCAAACACCGGGTCCGAGATTCGTCCATCTGATAATGCGCATGAAAGAATTCGCCTTTGATGCACAGGTCCAAGGAGAAGCTGAAGATCGACATGGTGTTGATGTTGAAAGGAATCAAAAAGCCAAGCATGTAGGCTGCGCGCATAATGCCGATGGCACGGACATAGAAAGGACCTTGAAAACAACATTGCAGAACAAGTTGGACTCCAACGACCCTCGCACGGCAAAAACAATTGGTTCCTGCCTCTGGCCCCTAATCCTCAGTGCGCTAAGCATCATTGAGACTTTGGCTTCCAAGGCACGGTCATTCAAATAATGATTATAATAGAGCGGTGCCTGCCAAACCACCTCCTTGGCCTTGGGCGAGGTCAAGAACCTCAAGCGCGGAGGCGAGGGCACAAATCACCTGCTTGAGTGGAGGTTCTGGCCACCAATATATATATATATATATACAGTATGTTATATTTAAACTAATATTTTGTCACTGCTAAAAGTATTTTGGGTTGGTTTTCAGCGTTTTGGGCTCTTGGACTCAACTGCTGAACTTCTTCTCATGAGCACACACAAAGCATGTTGCTTCCAAACATGTTTGACTCCCCAAATAGCTATTGTTCTTACTTCTCAATGACTGGTGCGGCCTCTATTCCGCTTTGGTTTGCCGCTGCTGCGTGCGGCTGCTGTCTCCCCACTTGTCTCCTTACGTGTCTCCCCACTTGTCTGCCTGTCGTGATGGCCGTTTTGGTTTGCCGCTGCTGTGCCGCTGCTGCTTCGTCTCCCCACTTGTCTCCATACACGTCTCCCCACTTTTCTTCCCATACCCCATGGTGGGTCACAAACACGGCTGAAACACATTCCTAAACTTCAGCTAAAAGGTGTTTAGAAGCGAGTTGGGCGCGCGAGGGGTAAACAGTTCAAGTATGGTATCGGTAGGCTAGTGGTAGAGTTCCCCATCTAAAACCAAATTCCGACAGCATTTGGCAAATCAACTTGCCCTTAACCTAAGGAAGGGTATTGGTATAGGGTTGACCCCTATCGGCTATGCGGGGTTTCAATCAATTCTGAGTTCTGAGATACAGTACTTAAGGCACCTCATTAC